TGAAGTAGGCGGGCACCGTGATCACCGCGTTGGTCACCGGGTGGCCCAGGTACGCCTCGGCGATCTCCTTCATCTTCGTCAGCACCATCGACGAGATCTCCTCGGGGTAGAAGGCCCGGCTCTCGCCCTTGTAGCTCACCTGCACCTTGGGCTTGCCGCCGTCGTTCACCACCTGGAAGGGCCAGTGCTTCATGTCCGACTGCACCACCGCGTCGCCGAACTTGCGGCCGATCAGACGCTTCGCGTCGAACACGGTGTTCTGCGGGTTCAGCGCCACCTGGTTCTTGGCCGCGTCGCCGATCAGCCGCTCGGTGTCGGTGAAGGCCACGTAGCTGGGGGTCGTGCGGTTGCCCTGGTCGTTGGCGATGATCTCCACCTTGCCGTGCTGGAACACGCCCACGCACGAGTAGGTGGTGCCCAGGTCGATGCCGATCGCCGTGTTCTTGGCCATGGCTCTCTCGCTCGCTTGCTCGCTCGCTCGCTCGCTCTCGGTCTCTCTCTGCTGCTGGGGCTCTGCGCTCAGCTCCTGCGAGGCTGCGCTCTGCTCTGCGGCGGGGATGCTCCGGGAAAGGCTGGTCCTGGCTGGGGTTCCGGAAGGTCGGGAACGCGCACTTTCGCTTCTCTCCGCTGCGTGGGAACCTGAGATTCCTTCTGCACCGCAGGCGGCGTCTGGAGCCCGGCGCGCCGCCCTGCGCCTTTAGGCGGCGTCCTCCGGCCCCACCCGCTGTCTCCTGGGCCAATCAGCGAGTCGGAGGCGGCCGTGGGGACCGGAATCTTCCAGCAGTTTCGCGTCTGGTGGAGCCTCCCCGCCTCCTCTGAGTAATCGCTGAGGAGGGTGCCGCCCCTGTCCAGAACTCTCCAGACCCTTCTGGGGTTCGCTGGAGAGGCCGGATTCCTGGGGGGAGGGCGGCGGGCCGCGCTGCTGTCGCTGTTGCCATGGCGACGCGTTACAGCAGCTTCCTCGGAATGACCGGGAAGGTCATGCTAGCTCGGTGCTGTGGATTCTTGGTTGTGATCTCGGGGGTTTCTCTGGCTCAGTTGTGATTTTGGGGGTCGAGTTGTGGGCTGTAACTCCCCCCCTCCTCTCGGGTGACCGAGGGATAGGCTTTGGGGCGTGTCTGGTGACGTGGTCCCCTGCAGTCGCGTTACAATGGCCATGCTGCCTCTGACCTCATGGACTAATTTAGGAATCAGAGACTCAGTCCCAGAACAGGCTCAGAGTTGCCGGGAGGGGCGGGGTGGGGGTGGGGGGGACCCCAGCTGCGTGCAGTTTGAATGTACCTGGAGCTTCCCACTCAGAGGGGCTCAGCGACCTCAAGTTTTCCAAACTGGAGCGAAGGCGGAGAGATTCCAGGTGAGCCGTGAAGGCTCTGATTGGAACGGGGCAGAGGGTTGTGTGTCCCAGTTAGTCCTTATATGAAGAAGGCCCTCGACATTCCTTAGGGTTGATTAATTTACAGGCAACCGCTAGAGGCACCCGCGTTTCCTCAGCGTCTTGAGCGTTGGGGTTACTAGTGTGGCCCTCCCCACACAGGCCCTAGTTGTTTCCATTTTGGGAGTGGGGGTTGGCAGCCAGGAAAAGAGTGTCTCTTGGGGACAGGTGGCTGGAACTAGCCTGAGTCAGAATTGGGAGCAGACACCCCTTGAGACCTTTTTGAATATGTTACTGGCAGAAGACAGGAGTTACAATCAAGAGGATAGAAACTGGGTGTAGAGATGCGTGCCTGCGATCCCGGCACGGAAAATGTCCAGACAGCATGGCTATGGGGGTGGGATTTTGTACTAAAAATATATAGAAAATCTCCCTCTTGTGCCTTCCTTCTCAGAAAAGTTGATGGAGGCTGCGTGGTGGCTCAAACTTCTAAGCCCAACTCTTATGAATGGAGGCAGGGACATCGCTTGAGCTATATAGTGAGACCTCCTATACTAGAAATAAAATAAGGCTTGTTTGGGGTGTCCTAGCAGAGCCCTTCAGAGTGAGCTAAATTACTGCACCACAGGTTGCTCAGAAAGGCACGTCTCCATGGAGACTAGTGCCTGTCTGTTTTAAGCACTGGTTTGTCTGTGTTTGTGTGAGTGTGTGTTGTACGTGTGAGCACCTCCAGAGAGGAGGAGCAGCTGTCTCATCCCCTGGAGCTGGTGTAGCAGGCAGGTGTGAGCTGACCAGTGTGGGTGCTGGGATCCAAGCCCAGGTTTTCTGGAAGAACAGGAAGCATTCTTAACTGCCATCTTTTTGGCCCCTAATATCTTTTGTTTGTTTGTGTTTTTGAGACAGGGTTTCTCTGTGTAGCTTTAGAACCTGGAACTCGCTCTGTAGACCAGACTGCCCTTGAACTCACAAAGATCTGCCTGCCTCTGCCTCCCAAGTGCTGAGATTTAAGGTGTGTGCCACCACTTACCTTTTGGCCCCTAATACCTTTTGCGGAGTTCAGAACACCATCTTAGGACACAGGTAGACAATTATGGTCCCACAGTAAAACATATCACCGTCATGGGAGCACTACAGTTGATTTAGGCCTGGGAAGAGTGGGGAATATAAACCCGCTTTCCTTCCACCCTCGGAGTAGCCGAGAACACTGCTGTCTGTCAATCACGTAAGCGCTTGACCCGTACGTGGATTTTTGTTAGCAGCAGTGCTATTCACAACAATGAGGAAGCCGAAGCAGCGTGGGTCTATGCAGAGATGAATGTGGAAGGAAAGGGTGGGAGACACATAAAATGGACAGACAGTGTTCAGTCTTAGAAGTACCGAAATATGCAAGCTCGTGGACGAGAACTAAGGACATTACGCTGAGTGGAATAAGGCCAGCCATCCACGGACAAATGCTGTGTAATTCCAGCTGTGTAGGGTAAGGGTAGACAGATCCCCAAAACATTCCCCTGGCGGTGAGATACAGAGCAAAGGTCAGGGTAATCGCTACTCCCAGCTACTGTGGAGGCTGAGCCAAGGGACTGTAGGCACCACCCAGCAAAGAGAACAGAAGGAGACCCATTTGAAAAGAATTCCTGTTATAATGAGTATTTCAAAATGAATATAGGCGAAGGTTCATTACTGACCTTAGGATTTTAATCAAGCCTACTGGGGCAAGGTTCAGACTAAACAGGAGCCAGTCTAGCAGCAGAAAGTGGCCTGTGTATACTCCTGCATCGTGGCGTTGGTGTTTGACCAGCCTGTCCGACTGTAGCATCCCCAAGGCCCTGGGTCCCACCCCAGTACACAGAGACAGAACCCAGAAACGAACCTGAAGGTGATCTCAAAGACAAAAGACAGCGAAAGGAAGTGGAGCAGGCACTTGTATCAAACGTGTATTTGATAGTTTTCAGAGTGGAAACTCAGGTACATAAACTATAGCATTAGACGCCTTTAAAGTTGAGGCCAAGCACCTGTCTCTGTTGGTGTCCAGTTTCTTACAAGAGGTAAAACACGGAGTTGTAGGACGTCTGAGACAGCTCAGACAGTAGTGAAAAACAGCCTGCCCTAGTGACTCATGCCTGTTACCCCAGCACTCGGGAACCTGAGGGAGAATAGCTGCCGTGTTTGAGGCTAGCCTGGGATACATGGTGAGTTCCAGGCCAACCAGGGCTACTGCCTTAAAAAAAATTAAACAAAAACCCAAAACAACCCATTGAGAGGTTAGGAGATAGCTCAGTGGGGAAGGTGTTTGGCATACAAGCGTGAGGACCCGAGTTCAATCCTCAGAGCCCACATAGCAGAACAAATGGAGCATGGTGGTCTTCGCCTGTGATCACAGGGTAAGGGAGATGGTTCACAGGGCTTGCAGGACAGCCAGCATAGCCTAACTGGCCAGGGTTTCAGTCCAGGGTTGTCCCCTTGAATCCAAGTTTGTGCATACACACCCCACACCAAAACAGCAGCAAACACAAAACCAAGAACATTTACAATCTCCTTGTGTAGGGTCTCCTATCCAGAAGAAGCCAGTTAGACTGGGTGTGTTTATCCTCATGCCTGCAGGCCAGAAGGAGGCACCAGACCCCATTGCAGATGGTTGTGAGCCACCATGTGGTTGCTGGGAATTGAACTCAGGACCTTCGGANCAGTGGGGAAGGTGTTTGGCATACAAGCGTGAGGACCCGAGTTCAATCCTCAGAGCCCACATAGCAGAACAAATGGAGCATGGTGGTCTTCGCCTGTGATCACAGGGTAAGGGAGATGGTTCACAGGGCTTGCAGGACAGCCAGCATAGCCTAACTGGCCAGGGTTTCAGTCCAGGGTTGTCCCCTTGAATCCAAGTTTGTGCATACACACCCCACACCAAAACAGCAGCAAACACAAAACCAAGAACATTTACAATCTCCTTGTGTAGGGTCTCCTATCCAGAAGAAGCCAGTTAGACTGGGTGTGTTTATCCTCATGCCTGCAGGCCAGAAGGAGGCACCAGACCCCATTGCAGATGGTTGTGAGCCACCATGTGGTTGCTGGGAATTGAACTCAGGACCTTCGGAAGAACAGGCAATACTCTTAACCTCTGAGCCATCTCTCCAGCCCCCATGCTTGTGGTTTTACCAAGACTGATGAAGCTGGTAGTTGGCTCAGCAGTTAAGAACACTTACTGCTCTTGCGGAAGATCCAGGTTCAATACCCAGCACCCACATGGTGGCTCTAACAGTAACTGCAGTCTGAGGGGATCTGATGCCCTCTCCTGACCTCCTTGGGGACATAATACATGAAGACAAAATGTCCATACACAAAATAATTTTCAAACATTAAAAAAATAAGCTGACTGAGGCTATGGAGGGCTCAGCCATAGAGAGCACATCCGTCCTTGTAGACGACCTGAATTCAGGGCCTAGCGTCTGCTCACACTGGGCAGTTCACAAATCTGACTGCACAGGCACCTGCATTCGTGTGCATATGCCCACACAGACATGCACACACGCACGCAATTAAAAATAAACCTTGAAAAAGTTACCAGTCAAAAAATAGCTTAAGTTTTATTAGAAAAAAAATCACTCCCCTAACTAGGATTATAAAATCTCATTTCTCCACAGGCCTCGGAAAACCATGGCTGCTAATAAAGGAATGGCCATAGGCATCGACCTGGGCACCACCTACTCGTGCGTGGGCGTGTTCCAGCACGGCAAGGTGGAGATCATCGCCAACGACCAGGGCAACCGCACGACCCCCAGCTACGTGGCCTTCACCGACACCGAGCGGCTGATCGGCGACGCGGCCAAGAACCAGGTGGCGCTGAACCCGCAGAACACCGTGTTCGATGCCAAGCGTCTGATCGGCAGGAAGTTTAACGATCCTGTTGTGCAGTCGGACATGAAGCTTTGGCCATTTCAAGTGATCAACGAAGGGGGCAAGCCCAAGGTGCTGGTGTCCTACAAAGGGGAGAAGAAAGCATTCTACCCCGAGGAGATCTCGTCGATGGTGCTGACGAAGATGAAGGAGATCGCCGAGGCGTACCTGGGCCACCCGGTGACCAACGCGGTGATCACGGTGCCCGCCTACTTCAACGACTCGCAGCGGCAGGCCACCAAGGACGCGGGCGTGATCGCGG